TAGACCTCTCCACTGATTCCCTACTCTTCTTGATCAATTATTTGTGTGTGTGTGCTTTTTCATATCCTTTTGTCACTTCATTATTAGCCTATTGATATTTTCATTGATTGAATGGAGTTCTGTATATTACGGAAATTACCCTTCTCTTATGAACTTCACCTATTTCCCTTTTTTCTTAAAAAAAATCATTTTATGTTGTTGTTGGGTGTGATAGCTACGTTTTGTGTCAACTTGGCTGGACCAGGATCCTCCGTGGTGTGGCAATTAAGGCCTAGTAACACCCCATGCTGTGAACTAGCACAGGTTGCTAACTCCATAGTGGGATCTACTGTGAGCAATCTGTTTTAAGAAGATTGGAGTGGCATCCAACTCCCTCCCCTACTCAACTCACTCCCCTGGTGCAAAAGGATTTCCTCTACACGTGGAGGGTGTGGAAAAGCTTCTTTGCTTTTTGCTAGGTTTGGATCCTGCATTTGGCTCCCTGACCTCTAAGGAGAGGAAATGGCCTGCCATATTGTGTGCCAATCCTGGGAGTCATCTGACCCGCCCACCTTGGGTACATTTGCCTGTCCACTCATAAGCCTGACTTGCTAACCGTGAATCCGTTCATTCTTCTGTGGCTTCCTGCACACTTGGAGTTCATCAACTACTGGAGTCAGGAGAAGGCTACATATGACCTATGGAATTGGGGCCTGGACCGGCCCACTTCTATAACTATGTGAGCCATTTTCTTGATATACATTTCCTCTCTATAGATGAAGGCTTCACTGGTTTTGTTTCTTGGGAGAGTCCAGCTTAAACCAGTGAGCATACACACAGTAAAAACATAGACCAAGTCACATTTCCACTGGTCCAGTTCAGTGACATTGAGGACATTCGACAAATTGGACAACTATTCTCCTGCTCCTTTTCAGAGTTCTTTGTGCCCCATCAACAGAAAATCACTGCTCCCAAAGTTCCTATTGAACCTTTGCAATTACTGTTATCAGTTTGATGCCAAATAGACAGATCGTAAAAGACCACAATGCTCAAGGCACTTTTTTGGGGAACTATGTAAGCTAAACTATTTAAAGAAAACTTCAGGGGATGTATATATATAATTTTATTGGGAGGCTCTTACAAATCTTGTGACAATCCATCAGTCAGTTGTATTAAACACACTTGTATATATGTTGCATCAACATTTCCAAAACATTTTCTTTCTACTTGAGCCCTTGGTATCAGCTCCTCTTTTCCCCCCTCCCCCTCCCTCTCCCACTCTCCCAAATCCTTGATCAATTATATATTATTATTGTTTCATGTCTTACACTGTCTGTTGTCTTCCCTTCACCCACTTTTCCGTTATTCATCTCCCTGGGGGGTGGGCTACCTTGTGATGGGTTCCCCCTTTCTCCCCCTGTCTCCCCCAACCCCTCACT